TCGCCCTCTCTCTCTCTCTCTCTGTGTCTCTCGGTGACGATTGGCGCTCGGGATAGACGATGAGTGACAGGGGAGGACCGGGGACAGCGGTGCGGTGAGGGACCGGGAGGGGTAGAAAGCCAGCGAACAAGATCCAAGTAGAGGAGAAAAAACACGCTCGAGTGCGCGTGACCTTCGTCGGGAAGGCGCGCGAGCCGCGTGCTTACGAATTTCTGGCCCTGCTCTCTTTATACACGCACTGCATGTAACGAGCAATGCAATCTACGTCGCTCGATCTCGTCGTATCGCCGCCGGACGAGTTGGGCACAACTAACTCGGTTACTCCGCTCGGCGCCAGCCCGAGTCCCCGTTCATTCAGCCTTTACTCGGGGATTTTCCCGACATTATTAGCGCTCCTTCTCTCCTTTTACTTAACCTTGCGTGCCTGGCATTATTCGCACGATCGCCAGCCCTCTCGCTTTTCCAGCCATTTTCGCCTCGACGCACCTCCGATTATTTACCAATTACTCCGCCACGTTAATTAAAGCCCCGTAATTGCGCCTCCCATATTATTAAATTTAATAGCCCGATGATACCCAAGGACGAGTCTTTTTTGTCTTACTTTCTTTTTTTATGTTCTCTCATTAATTTTCTTGAATTTTCTATGTCATGCATGAGAAATTGTCGTTAGACAATAGCCGAAGCTTTTGTGTTTCAATCGAACGAACGCTCAAAATTATCGAAGTCTTGAGGCTCGACTCGGCTCGACTCGGCTCCACTCGGCTCGACTCGGCTCGAAAAAATCGAAAAAATCGAAAAAATCGAAAAAATCGAAAAAATTACCGTTTAGGTAGGTTTAGGTTTTTCGCTGCTGGTTTCTATTATCGTCACCTCCGAGTTCTTTTACCTTCCCGTTCATTTCCAACTGCCTAATCACATTTCTAACATTTTCATTTCTTACTTTTGAGATTGAGAGCATAAACCGATCGATACTTTTTATGAAAACATCTGTCACGAGGTGTGATGTATTTATATTTATTGGCAAATGATAATTTGAAATATATTCGACATTATTAGAACGGGAATTATAAACGGTGGACGACGAATCGCGTATGCGATCGAACCACCGCATTAAACGGTCTGCCGCTGTTGCTGTTGCTGTTGCTGTTGCTGTTGAAGCTGCTACACTCGTATGGTATTTATAATAAGTATTTATATATCGGACGATAAGAGCGTGTCAAGCTTACTTCCCATATAAATTCATAAGTTATAATGCTATCATTAATATGTTTAATAACGTGAAAAATAATCTGAACGATACATCCAACGATTGTAATATCTACAAACAAAAGCTGAGCTCGATACATTGAACAAAAACAAAAAACAAAAAACAAAAAACAAAAAACAAAAAAAAAAAACAAAAACAAAAAACAAAAAACAATAAAAATTGAACCGACGGAATTGCATAGTTTCTCAGAAATTGTCTCGAAATTTTTAAAAGAAAAACGACTCTTCGGGAAGCTCCTTGTTCATTTTTCTATTTCTTACCACAATACTTTCAAATGTATTATAACGTCGAATTTTCTTTCACCCTCGATAAACAACAATACACGTAATGTAACAAATTATGAAAATCTTGGAAATAAAAATACAATGCACTCCGTCACTCGGTATATTTCTTAAATAAATTTAAATATATAAGAAACAATATTTATTTAACGACGCAAATTCTATTTACAGCAGACTACGTATAAACAGTAAGACGCTTAAGGGCGTAAACATTTGTATGAATTCACGCACCGACCATAAACAGACTGTAAACATATTTTTTAATATAAGAAAAGACCACGCGTATCTGGAATTATTTAATATTAGGTAAAAACAGCGTGAAAAGTTATTGACAATTTATTATGAGAGCGGCGAGTGTTTATTTATAAGAAAATAATTCTATTAATTTAGTTTGAAAGAAATATTGAAGATGTAAATACAGTAATAGTAATAGTAGTTGCAATTTAATATAATCATATATAATTTATTATATATAGTATATATTTTAAACATTAGTGTGCACGATCATTTGCGTTAATATTTATAAACATTAATCATCGAAATAGTTATCATTGTCAGCAAAATATGTGCAAAATTCGATATTACTTTTTTAATACGAGTTATAAATGACAAATCATTTATTCGGTGTAATATAATTTTATTGCTACTCGTAGCCGAAATATTCTATATATATTCTATATATGAGATTATAAATTTGAAACGATTAAGCGATAAAAATTAATGTATACGAAAGTTATTATAATGACAGAACATTGGTTTGCTTCAGAACTGGAAATATGAACAAAACACCAGAGGCGAATATTGCTAACAATAGTAGTGGTTTGGTAACAGAAGAAAATCAACAAAAGCTAGCATATTTACTGACGCAAAAGGTAGATGAAGAAATAGAAAGTCAAATGAAAAAAATCGAAGTTCAAAAGGTATGGCTTATAATTTAAAAAAATGTAATTCACCTCTAAGAAATATCTGTGTAAACAACGCAACTGTAAATTCAATAACAGATGGAGGATGATTTGACTATAAAAATGCTGGAAAGAGAATATTCTGAAAGTAAAAGAAATTTCATTTATACGAAAAAGAAACTAGATGAGACACGAAAAAAAGCATCTACACAATCAGAAACGATCAATCAACTTTCACAAGCTAATAAAGCTATTGTAGAGAAGTAAAAAAAAAAAAAAAAAAAAAAAAAAACCCTTTTCTTTAGCTTATTACATTTGTACTTATACGTATTACAAAACTTAAATTGTTTAAGATTCAACGAGTTAAAAAGATTTCAAAATGAATTTATACTTGTTAATATTGATAATGCTGAAACAACATCAAATAACTGTTTAAACAAAAATAATGTATTATCAAATACACTGCGAATGATAACGGAAAAGGAAAATTATACAAAATGTTTGAATAAAAATATAATTGATAACAAAAATAAATTAAATAACGATGGTTAGTATGTTTTTTTTTTACTTTGAATTTTTTTAATTATATTGTAATTTACACAATGTTAGCTAAGAGAGAACTTGAAGAAAAGAAAGCAGTTAATGACAATCTCGATCAAATATTGACACAATCGAAAAGAAAACTCGAAACACTTAAAATGGAATTAACTCAGGAAAAGATTGATATTAATTTTGACGAACTTATTCAAGAAAATAAGAACAGGTTATTATTACAAATAATAAACTACCATATTATTATTCAAAATTATATATAATATCGAACGAATGTTTATCCTTGTTAATAGAATGATGCAATTGGAGATGGATGATGAGGTATTTCAAGCGCAATTCAAACAAGAAACAGACGATTTAACACAACAAAAGAATAATAAAATTCAAGTACATATAATTTATTTTACTTAATTTTTAAATATAATGCATTAATATCTTATTGGTTACAATTAATTTCAGTATATAGATAATAATAACAAAAGTTTAAAAGAAAAAAAAGAATCCATATCAAAATTAGAATCAGAATTATCATTAATGGAGTTCGTATTTAAGATTAACATAAATTTCTCATGCATTTTAATATTTTAGTATTATGAAGTTTTTTTTTTTTTTTTTTTTTTTTTTTTTTAGACGAAAACAAACTGCAATAGAGAAAGATTTTAAAAAAATTGAATCCAAATATGTGGATATTTTAAACGAAGTATGTTTATATAAAAATATAATTATAATTATTTTATAGACCATAGAGTCTGAATATTACTACATTTAAGCAATTATATTTTTAAATACAAATTTAAATTAGGTAACAATGAAACGAGAAATTAACGAGTTGTCAAAAAAAGTGTTTGATGAAAATATTATAAACATTAAGAATGAGCAAAATAAAATAAATATCGAATTAGAAGCTGCAAAAGCTAAATTTTCGAAAGATGAAAACGATATGCATACAGAATTTAATAGCTTGTTAAGCAGATTAGAAAAGAAAAAAAAATTATTAAAGAAAATAGAAAGTTATGAACAAGATCTTAGTAAATTAAAAGAAACCACCAAAGTAAAACAAAAAGAATTGTCGAATAATAAAGGATTACAAGATAATTTAAAAAAATTAATTTCTGACCTTAAGAAATATGAACAAATTATTTCAATAAAGAATAAAAAACATATTGAATTAGTTGAAAAAATTCAAGATTTGCAAGAAATAAAAAACAGCACTAAAGAAAAATTAGAATCATTTAAACACGAAGAAAATACAGTAGAGAATACAGTCGCTAATTCCAATGACTCTAATACAAAGAATTCACCGATTAATAAAAAAGTAATAAAATAATTCCTAAAGTACGTAATGTATTTTGTTAATTACATATGTATTTTTTATGTTTTATATATATATATATATATACAATACAGCCTTCGAATTCTCAGAAGAAATTGATTTATTCAAAAAATGATAATGAATGTGAATCTAAAGAATTAGACATCAGTCCTGAATCTACAAATAAGGTAGATAATTAGAGTTATAATTAATATTATAATTATCATTCATGTTTATTTTATTCTTTAGAAGAAAATACCGAAGAGTCCTAATAAATCTATTTATTCATTTAATTTATTCGATACTGACGAATCTGATGATGAAATGAATTTAAAAACAATACTACCTGAAACAGTATGTATATTAATAGTATTTAAATGTATATATATATATATATATATATATAGACAAAGAATATGTATTATAGGCAATGGTAAACCTAAAATCTCTTAATTCGAGAGATATTGAAGTATAAAATTGCAGTTTTCACATTTTTCAAATTTATAAATTTGATAGAAACAATAAGGATAATATAATAGTATCGTGAAATATTGACATTCTCATTGATCAAATTAAAAAAAGAATATTTTAGTAATATAAGGAGTCGATTATCAATTAAACATTTCTTTTTAATATTCACGAGAAATTGAAAATACTTTTAAATATTTAAAAATAGAAACTAACTTAATACTTTAAAAATAAATCAATACATATTTCTTTCAATCTTCCCAACCAGTTTATAAATAAGTTTACAATTTTATTATCATTTTATTAGATTTTCATAGGAATAATATGAATAATAGTGAACAGTTTTATTGATAATAAATTTATATGCCGTACTTTTTATACTTATAGATTATTTATTATGAGATTTATAAATTATATATTAAGTACTTTTATTATAAATCAACTTAATAATTTAAAAAAGTATATATTATTTGTAGTTCTCTAATTAATTTTTTCTACAAATATTTAGCATAATTTCTATTCTAATCGATAATTTAATATAAATTTCTTGTTATGATTACACATCAGTGAAGTTTCAAAATCGTATATTACTTAAAGAATTCTTAAAACGTGAAACAAAATGATTCGTAATATATAATTACCATAAATTAGGCTCTTAAGTATTGATATTTTATCAATTTAAATAAACAAACAATTATATTATTGCTTTTACTTGTAAAAATAATTTAAAATTTAGTTCGAAACATTTTATAAAAGTAAATCGATTTAGTACATTAAACATAATACTCTTTGTTTCTGAATAAAATTATCAAAATTGAAAATTAAAATATTACAATTTTTACTTTTAATTTATATTTTCTTCTTCTTCTTCTTATTATTATTATTATTATTATTATTATTATTATTATTATTATTATATATTTCATTATTATAAAAATATTTTATTTAAAAAAATTTTTAAATAATTAATCTGTTTATGTAATTAATTTGAAAAACATGGATTTATTCTTTTGTGTAAAAATACATTTTTGTCTTGAAAATAATTTATCACCTATTTAAATGCTTAATTAGTTCAAACTTTTTAACAACTAAGGGTTCGACTTTAAATTACCGAAAACAAAATATTAAAAAGCTTTATTTCGTTTTAATCTGGATTATTACGGTATAAAATAAATAAATTCAGTATTGTTAATTATAAATATAAAATTTCTAACAGTAAATTAAAACAATTTTTTTAAACAATTAATTTTATGCTTAAAAATAATCAAACAATTTCTTATTTTACTTCATTATAAGCTTATATAATAATTCGTATTAATAGAATATTTATAGATGACAACAAAAAAATTTCACCAATTCAAAACAATATAAACTATTTACTCAATAATAATAATTAAGTAAATGACAATAAGATTATAACGTTATTTGTTTGTTTGCTTTTATATAGAACGATAACAATTCGCATAGTGAAGAACTTTTTGATAATTTATTATCGCAAAAAGATTCAAAATCTTCTAAAACTTCAAAAGATACGGTAAATATATAAAAAAATCTTCGAACAAATACTTAAATCCTTTACTTTATAACTATAAATACGAAAAATGTACGAGAGTTTAATGCCAATATAGTCACTTACACATATATCATTTCAAAATTAATTTATTCTGTTTATTATTCGAATTAATGATTCAAGTATCATTATGATAAGATTATTATTAATAAAATACATAAATATTTTAAAGTTGATTCTTTACTATTTAAAGTAAACGTGTAAAGTAACATAGTTAAGTATGATTATAAATTTTGGTGCTTTCCAAAGAAAGTTCCATTTTTTTCTCATTTCGCAATATACTTCTCTTCTAGACTAAATATAGAGTTTTGATCTAATATATTAAAATCAACGTTTTATTAATTATAACTAAACATGTAGTTGATATTTATTTATTTATTTATTGTATTTTATTAGAATGTTTGTTTTTGTTTTTTTGTTTTTGTTTTTTTGTTTTGTTTTTATTTATTATTATTTTATTTTTTTTTCGCAGGATTTATTTAAAATGCCACATGCATATATGACACCATTTAGGAAGAAGCCAAGTCAAACTAAAAAATGTTTTTCAAATTAATTATTCAACATTATCAATTCATAGACATATTTCTTTTATTATCCATCTCTAAAGTTAAATAAGTTTATCTTATGAAATTTATGTATTCAATTGTTCCCTTTGAAATCCTTAAACAATGAAAATCAAATGAACCAAGAACTTATATTTTAGAGATTAAAATTTCATTATTAAAATTAGTATAATTAATAAAATAAGAATTCTTTATAAAATTTAATTGTCCTAAGCTCTAATCGTAAACTGAATAAATTAATTTTTTCTTAAACTTAATACTTAGATTTAGATAAGTTTATAGAAATGAAATATTCGAGATTGATTATTCTACGTCTAATAAATATTTAAGAATATTTAGGAAATTTGAAACTCAACCGAGTCAAATGTAGCAATCGTAAGATAATTATCTAGGATGATCAACATAAAATTAAGAATATAAATATTATAAATGTCATTATTAATTCGCGTGAAGTTGCTATATTATGTCTTTATAAAAATTTGATATTTGATTCAATTAAACGTCCGTATTATAATATTATCGGTGCATAAATTATTCATTTTGTTATATTATATATTTACATGTTTATAGATTATAAAAAAATTTTACTAACAAAATCTATGAGTACCGAAATTATAACTTTCAATAAATTGTCGATTGGTAAATCGATACGATAAATTAAGTTATATTTATCAGTGTATCGAGTTACGTTTCATTTTGGTTAATTTTATTTATGCTAGAAAATATATAAAACATCCGCAGCCAAGTATTTCTTCAAAGATATATATTTAGATTAATTGACTATGTTAAAAAACTTGAAGGAAGTATGCCTATTATAAATTCGTATATTCTTTTAAATATATTATAAAGCATTTATAGGCCAATAAAATAGTTCTCTTTGTTTGCAAGATCAAACAAATATTTTCAATAAATATAATAATGTACGTTATAATTATAATCGCATTTTTCATCGGAACATGACATAAACAACACATTAACATAATTAAATATGGGCGAATCGTAAAAATAATAAATATACTCAAAGAATTGTTTATTTTATCGTCTAAGCCATTAATAATAATAGCATAATCAATTTGAATAAAGTTGCTCGTGATATTTGGAACACAGATTTGAAATAATCAGCTATATAATTACTTTTTTTCATACAAATAATAAGTTTTTTTGTCTAAGTGCCAATAAAAACTGTATATAAATTTTTTTAATTATTATAATAAAGCGCCTGTTTTAATGTTTTTAACTGGCTGTTAGAAAGAAAGAAAAAATGATATACGGATCACAAGTGAATGATAATTAGAGCGTTTAATTGTTGTTTACGAAATATTTTAATAAATGAAATATGATATAACACTCGTGACTAAGATCTCAAATAAATTTTATTATTGATATTCATATAAAGGCCTGAATTTTTTTAATAATTGTTATTATTTCAACATTGATACTACGGAAACAAATAATTGATTGATAATCCAATGTCAAATTGAAGTCCATAAAATAAAAAATAGCTTAAAATTCAGACCAAAGGTAGTTTAAAAAATATTTAGAATATTTATAAAAGACTTGTTTTTTTTTTTTTTTTTTTTTGAGAGAGAGAGAGAGAGAGACACGTATTGATCGATTGATTTATTTATTTTTTACCACCAATTTATCGTTTATTATTATTATACAATTTTTGTTCATATTGATAACTCTATTCATCTATCAAAACTAACAACCAATAAATCTAACATTATTGATATTTAAAGATGATATTGAAAAGTCAAAGCTTTGTGTTTATGAATTATAATTACACTATCCAAACAGCATATTTTGTTTTAATCGATGTAATGAAATGTGTGTGGTTTTTTTTTTTTTTTTTTTTTTTAATCTTTTAATGTAAATTATGCTCAAACACGTATAAAGTAATGTTTTTTAATATGATTTTTAAAATGGTGCCATTGTCATTCATTAATCATTGTTTCGTATAATTATTAGTAATATTTCAAAGAGTAGTAATATGCTTTAATGTACCCTTCAGTACTTAAATAATAAATGATAGCTGCTAAATGTAATTTTAACCGTCATCGAGTAAGATGAAAATTTTAGTGAAAGTCTCGCTGAAACTATGAAATATTATAACTAATAGCATAACTTTTACTTCCGCCTGTAATATAATTTACAGTCAATTCAATACCTACACGATAAAATAAGCTGCATAACAACATTTAAAAATATTTTCTTCTTTGTCTAACCTTAAGTTAACTTGTTAACTATCGAGTTAATTCACTTATTACCTACACTATCTATTAATACAATTTTTATTGTTATCTTAATTGCATTAATTGTAATTATATGGCAATATTATCTCTATTATTGTTGTTTAGCGTTAGATTTTTATATTTATTAGTTAGAATTTGTCAAGGACAATTTGATAATCGTTAGCATTAGCAAAAATCTTATATTATTATGCATATTTAACGAAAGTTTTTCTGAAAACATTCGACTTAATTAAGTCGTTAACGCAACGTATAATAAATAAAATGAAAATACATATTTTTTAGGGTTTAATTAAAACGAGGCATTTGTTCGCTCAAAAAAAAAAAAAACCAATTAAAAATTTAGAAATTTAGAAAGGGACAAATTAGATTGAATTAAAATTACGAATAATTAATGAAAAATTAATATTAATTCTTTATTAGCTTCTATGTGAATAAATAAATGTGTCCAAAAATTCATAGTAAATTATTTTAAAGACAATGATGTTTTATTGTTATGTACTTGAAGGATGTACTTGTATGTAAAATATTTCTTCGCGCATTACGAATTTACATTAAACAAACCTTTCTTTACTTAACATAACAGATTACGATTGATAAAATTGATAATTACACTTAATCAATAATTAAATTTCATGAATGTATATTATGACAGGCATATTAAAGGCCATCGATCATTGTATAAAGGCATTGTAAAATCAACTATGATAATGTTACAAATAGGCATTAGTGAATAAAATTTATATAAAATACTAGTTTATATAAATTTTGGATTGATTATCCAATCGATATTTGCACAGTCAAAAATCATATTTTCCAACACATAAATTTCACATGCGTTTGCAATAAGACGATGAAGCGATAAAAGAGCAGTTCAAGGTTCCCGATGTAGAATAAAAGGTGTGTTACTTACATGCACTCACATCAATTATTGCGTACGTTGGCTAACTTTGTTTATATTGAAATTTATTGTCCTTTTGTAGAACCCGATGCGTGCTGAAACATTTGACAGGATAGCTTCGACGACTCTCGTCTCGACTAGCAAAGGTCACTTCCGAATCAATAACAGACATTTCGAGATTTCCCAAATAAATCTTTTACAATCATAATGCCCGTAAAAGTATATTATTTTTCAACTTCAAATAATTTCGTCGAAAGTTTAATTTACACGCAAAAGGATTAAAATTACCAATCTATACTTATAATGCAGAATTTAGTAAAGATTCTGAAAAGTTTACTTCGCATCAGTTCGGAGGCAATAATTACTGGTAAGTTGAACTTACTTTGTCGAACGTTAAGGTCGTATAAAAAAAAAAAAAAAAAAAAAAAAAAAAAAAAAGTAAGGCATATAAAATATTGACCGTAAAGAATAATCTGCAACAATTGGATTGACTTTAAATATGTTAGTAACTATTCGTGTAAATTTCTAAACTCGGCAAAAATTCATGATATTCAGAAATGGGCCTAAGCTATTTCAAATAAACGGGATTAGTCGAGAAGAATTCGATCGATCGAAATATCTTTTTTCTTTTATTATACACATATTGGAAAAAAATCATGATCACTTTTCATCGACATTAAAAGATAGAAAATATATTGTTCGAATCGCGTTAATTTAATCTTAAATGTACAAATATACTTCATCCTGGATTAACTTCAACAAAATCTTCAACTAAATTATATAGAAATTTTAAAGTCGAACGAACGACGGAGGGGGCGGGTGAGCCTCAGACTTTTCAAGCTTCTAAGTCGGCTCACTGAACACTGAAAATGATCCCTTGACATGATCGATAACGAGAGGAACGACGATCTAATTGGCCGAAGGCTGCTTCAACCAAACGTAATAGTACCTCCAAATTCTTATTCATAGTCAACCTAACCAGTTTCATCATCATCGTGATGGGTGTGGGGTCCGGGCGGG